ACCCCCGCCGCCAGCTGCTCGGAGACAGGTGTGCATCAGCAGGGGGACAGTCCCTCCAGAGAAGGCGTCGCGGGCAGCCCCAGGGCGCCTCACACCTTGATGGGCTCACGGAGGGTGGGGAATCCAAGCAGCCCGCTGCCCTGGGTGCCAACCACCCCGCCCCATGGCTGCAGACTGAGGACCACCTGCTCGCCTGCACCCACATAGACACAGGTCCCTTCCAACTCCGGGAGAGTAAAGCTCTTCATTAGCTCTAAGTCAAACGGGACGGGCTTCCAACTCCGATTGCTCGCCACCAATCTCCCTCTACGACGCACTATCCCAAGAGTAAAACCGAGGGAAAACAGAGAAAGGGAAAAAAATCACTATCGCTTCATATAACATCCCTGTCTAGGATCCCTCCCCTGGATCTAGCGTCCAGGAAGGCCGCCCCGTCCACCTCCCCTGCGGATCAAGGCTCCCAAACGCCTTGGCAGTGACTCAATCCCCTCCGCTTCAAGTCCCGTAAACGTAAACTTCCCCCCCCCCAGTTTTAATTGGTTGTCTGCTTCCCCTGTATCACCCGAAGCCAGGGTCCGAGGAACGCTCCTCCATCGCCGGTCATCAGCTGGGCGGGAGCCTTGCCCTGCGATGTCCTGGCGACAGTCCCCTCTTTTGCAAACTCAAGAGGGGGTAGCCCATCTTCCCCTCCCCCACTCGCCCCGAAAGTCCCAGGCCGGGGGTGGGGGAACCCCGGGAAGCCCCCTGGCGCTCACCTGCCCGGAGCCGGGCTCGTGCGCGGCCCCGCGATGGAGCCGCGGGTGCGGAGCGGGAAGCCGGGAGAGAGCGGCGGGCGGCCGCGCGGGGCGCTCGGCTCGCGAATCTCCGGCTCCGATCGCCGCGCTGAGTTTACTTGGGCCGCTTAACCCCTGCACTGCCGGCGGGGCTCGCCTGGCCCCACTGCGCCGCCTGCGGGGGGCTAGTGGCTCCGGTCCTTACGGGGCGGGGGGGGAGGGGTGAGCGGGTGGTCGCGCGAGATGTGGGTGCGGGGCGAGGCGGCAGATGCAGCGAGCAAGCAGCGGGGGCACGAGCTGGGACTGCAGTGGCTGGGGAGGGGGTGGCGCCGGGTCCCCTTGTAACCCCGGCCGGGCCCTCGCCCCGCCCCCGCCCGGGGGCGCCCCGGTCGCAGCCACTCAGCACTCGGCCGGGTGGAGGGGACGAGGGAAATTTGAAATCACCGGGGAACCTCCCCCGGCCCCTCCTCCACAGGCACCACCCCCTACTCCCCCCTCAAGGGGGGTTGTCTGTGGAAATCACTAACGGGACTGAAACTCCCCAAAGGGGTCGGCCACAGGCGCTCCCCAACACTGCAAACTCTTCCCGGGGGCCCCCTTTTCCCGCCACCACTGCCCTCCCAGTCACGCAGGCCCAGGTGCCGCGGCCCAGAGAGGGAAGGGTCCCCCACGATAGTGGCACAGCTGCAGTCTCCTCTTGACCTGACACGCACACCCCAAAGGCCTCTAGACCTTTAGGGGCCCCATGCTGGACCCTCAGCTGGACTGTCCCTTTCGCCCACCACGCTTGGCTTTTGTCAGCCATCTTAAGGGGGAGGGAGGGGATGGAAGCAGGAGGGTCCCTAGCTGCCCGGGTCACCCGAGAAACATCCACCGACTGAAGAAGATGCCCCATTCTGGATAGTTCGAAAACAATTTCCACATATTTCCCTAGCATCGTATTTATATGTAGACACCTTTTCGTTTGTTTACTTGCTATGGTCTCTACACAGTCGTCTGGAGGGACAAGGTCTCGGTGTGCTCGAGCACTTAGTTTCCGATGGCATCGAATTGGATTTCTCGAGTCCTATCTAACCTCAGGTTAGCTCGTGGGTTTGAACTGCTGACTTTTTGGTTAGCAGCTCCAATTGTTAGGCACCAGTGCTCAATAAATACGTATTGGATCATAGAACAGATGAATGTTTGACATGGTAGCTAACAAGATCCAATATAAACTGGGCAGGCCTACATTACCCTGCTCCGGTTCCTCACCGCATGCTAACTATCTGGCAATTTTGCTGTGTTGAAGACACCAAGCACATTCCTGCCCCAGTGCCTTTGCCCTCGCTGTTCGCCTCTATGCACACAGAGAAATACAGACAGAACTGACTGATGATGTTCTCTGTCTCTTGGGTTTGGTTGTTCAGCTTCTTGCCGTTCAGTTCTTGCCCAAAAGGGCCTCTTCTGGAAACATTTTTCCTCACCATTGCCCCCCTCCCTTGGGTCTCCCGCCTGCATTACTAGGAATCCCCTCAATCTGTATGACAGGGCTTGACATGTACCCTCCCCCTCAAACCTCCTTCCTGGGCCTAGAATTCTCAATGGGACTCCCCAGGGAACAGGAGGGAGACTTTTCACTAAAAGACAGTGGTTTTTGTAAGTCTGATAAATCTTCTCTTTGAGCTTCCGTTTTCTCTGCCCTGGAGAGAGAATACCTCACATGATTGTTGGAATGAATTTAAGTGAAAACATTTCATGATGAATTGAGAAGACTAAGCTCCAACTCCTAAAGAAATATTTTTTTAAAGACTTTTTTTTTGTTGCTGAGATTTTGTATGCATGGGGGATGGGGGAATTTGGTAAGGGTTTTCCACCACCCCACGCCCCCATTTATAAACAGCCTAGGTAAGAGATGTCTTTTCTGTACACCTATGTTTATTGTGGCTTTGTTCACAATAGCAAAGAGTTGGAAATAATCCAAGTGCCCATCAAAAAAAGAATGGCTAGAGAAGCTTTGGTATACTCACACAATGAAATACTATGCAACATTGAAGAACAAGAAACTCACGAAATTATTATGCAAAATGGGTGACCCTAGAGGACATTATGCTGAGTAAAATGTCTCAGTCACAAAAGGACAAATACTGCATAGTGCCACTGTTATAAAGTGAGTCTGACATCGGACTTGGGAGAATCTAAGAGAGGATAAATAATATACACTACATTGAAACAGATGAGGGAGAGAACTGTTTAGGAGGAATATATGAGTAGGTATTATTGTCGTGACAAGAGTGCAGAATGAAAGCTGCACAGTGGAGTGGAGGGGGCGGGGTGGGAGGTGGGGGAGGCTTGTACAACAATGAAAGAATTTTTTTTTTCAAAGAGAAAAGCAAACTGGGGGGAGGGGTGACCAGGGAGGAAAGTGTGCAACAATGAATGAATGGAAATCCAAAGTCTCTGTAAACTTTCATTAAAATTAAAAAAAAAGAATCTCAAATATTAAAAAAAGAGAAAAAAAGAAAAAAAAAACAAAGAGAGAGATGTCTTTTGTTGTTCCTGAGAAGTAGATACTGAAATTTAGAGGTAAAAGAACAAAATATCACCTATTCACCTCTAAGGGTTCATTAAATGACAAGATTAAGGGAAGGTCTTAAAGTAAATGGGACAAAATATAAACAAATTGTGAATCTGGCTTGAAAGCCTTTAAGTTTCTGTAATAGTGTTGTAATTCTTCTATAGACAATTTAGAAAATAAAATGTTACAAATGTTGAGTTGGAAAATGTTGTTTTTTATACATACAGAGAGAGAGAGAGAGAGAGAGAGATTTACAATAAAAAGCAATGAGAGTTACCCCTGGGGGGAAATGTTAACAAAGGAAAAACATCATAGAAACCATCGTACTAATAAGTCAAATTCCTTGATGGATTTATACTATGGTTTAAGTATTATATTTGCTCAGAGCAGTGATAGGTTTTTAGTAACATATGCAAAGTGTTTCTAGAACAGTACCTGACATGTAAGAAATAATATCTACTTCATGGGGTTGTAAGAGAATTATATGAGTTAATTAATATTAAGCATTTTGAAAGTGCCTGACACAAGGAAAGCATCATTAAATTGCTTGTTAAAATGTTTATTATTATTAATAAGAAAGCCTGAACCCTTCCCTCTGACTGTTCCAGATCTTGGCAAATGAACTCTCTCCTAGCTTCCTCACTTTCTTCAACTAGCCCTGTCTTTGTCCACCCGCCTATCACCAGTTATCTGCCAACTGCTAAGGCAAGCCAGTGCACCTCCAGGTCTATAAGCAGTCCAGTACGATGGGTCCTATATTACAGTTAAATAAAATTAAGCGAGATAAGGAGGTTTGCCGAAGAAGCGCAGTAAGTTGGTCAGTAGCAGGCCCGAAAGCAGCTCGACCCCCATTCTGAGTGGTCCCTTACTCCCAGTTTGCTATGCTAAGTAGTTTCAGCCACAGACTATTCCCTCATCTAATTGGAATAATAATAATAGTAATGCCTACTTCCAGAAGTGATTGTAGAGATTCACTGAGCCTATGTATTTGAAAGGGCCCCATTGTAAAGTACTCAATCTTAATTGTAGCATCATTAAGAGGCCACGTTCACTTGCAAAGTGGGTTTCAAGCCATTCATTTTCAACAGGAACACCCAAGCTTTTTTCCTGCCCCAATTAGCCCAAGGAAAGGATTATTTTCTTCTTTCTCCAGACTATAAAAAAAAAAAAAGATAGGGGGAAGGGATTGATACATGTGTTGTAAAGTATCTGGTTAGACAAATACACAAAGTGTGATCAAATCTTATTCATTTATTAGTACTCAGGAACGAATAATAATAATAATAATGGAGAGCTTGCTGTGAACACAGTACTGGCCTAAGTGTTTCCTATGCATTGTACATTGAATCCTTTCTATTTCAGGAAATAGGAAGAACTATTACAGACGTTTTATGTGTAGTTGTCCAAGGTCATCTTGCCAGGAAGTGTGGCAGGGGCTAAAATACCAATGTGCCATCTTAGTCACTTTGCTACTGTAAAATGCTTAAAACAGTAACTGGTATGTAGCCATTAAATACTATTATTAATATTATTATTATTATCACTGAGCAAAATAACTACTGTTGTTGTGGTTAGGTGTCCTGGAGCCTGAATTAACTCCTAACTGACCCTCCAGGGGATTTTCAGAGGCTCTAACTCTCACAGGAGGACATAGCCCAACTTTCTTCCGAAAGAAGCTGGTGGATTTCCATCCCTGTGGGCTTGGGTTGGCAACACAATTACCCACTAGGCCACCAGAGTGCTCTAAAAACAATTAGTAGTTCTTTTCCAAAACCCAGGCTGCAGGTAAAGTTACCAGCCTGCTGTAAATATAGACTCACAATTTAAAGGATCCTGCCTTCCAGAGAATGTTAGGACAAGTCTGGATGAAAGAAACTCATCCCTTCTCTTTTTGTCCTAATCTATATTGCACAGGCTGAGCCAAGACCCCAGAGAAATTAAAGAGTGAGATTCTTCCCTTCAATAACAACAGTGACGGTTACTATTATTATTACATGTGCTAAGGATTTTCTATATGGTTTCACACTTAGTCTATCAGCTTCTGAGACAAGTGCTAATATCCTCTCATTTTAGACTAAGGGTGGAAACACTTGAGTGATCCTAAGGACTTAGGTCACACTATGAAGGGTTAGGGTGGATGCCTTGAGCTCAAGGAGGAGACTTGGGAATGGTAGATTGCACCCAGGTGGTGGTCACATCAGGGTGGTGACTGGCCGATTGTAGATATGACTGGAATGAAGAATTGTCAGATTTGTTGATGACTCTTGATACAGGAGCAAGAAAAAAGTGACACCAAGGATTTGGGGCCTTATCCAAACTATAGTATCTGCTTCAATTGACAACTAAAGAAACAGATGCCAGAGAGCAAAAGTGACCTTCTCCAAGGTAGGTCACTCAGAAGGTTAATTAGAAAATGAGCCAGAACTCTAAGAGGCTCATCTCCCTCCTTCTATCTTCTTCCCCCTTAAGATTCAAGCCCTGAATTTGCCAAAAGAAGACTGGAGATCCAGAAGTAATGGATTTTTTTCCCCCCTGAGGATGGAATCAAGAAGATGCTAAGCTGCTTCAAGGAAAC